GGGTGTTGGGGGGCTCCCAACATGGGCAAATTGCCCCCATGTCTCGACTGTACAAGAGGACTTTTTGAGGCAAAAGAGTTTGCTCAGATATAGCCCTTGAGCCACATTTTGCCCCCCTCTGCTGTACCTAATTGCTAATTGATGGCCAGAATCCTGTATATCTTTGCGGGTATAGCGGGAGTGATGTTATTGGCAGGGGCAGCCTGCCTCTAGTTAAGAAGTTCCTGCTTTGATTTTGGGTTGTGTATGAATCATGTGTCATTTGAAATTGAAGAAGGAACTCTTTAATTACCATTAATTAGCTGCTGCTAGTGACAGCATTCCTGGTGTACCAGTACTGTTACACAACAGAATATTTATACAAAGGAAACCAGCCTAGAAAATATGGTAGCTTTTTGACCTGAAGAACTCCTACAACAAAGGAAGAGTGGCAATGGGCTAACTGACTTTTCTGCCCTCAATAAAACATCTCATTTCTGGGACCTGATTCTAGTTCCCTTTCTGCAGTGGCAAGTAAATATCTGCTTTGCTCATGTTAAGCATCCTGCGTTTTAGGTCCCTGTTCACAGGGGATCCTCTATCACACCATGAGGAGCCTCCACAAGTATATCTGACTCCTCAGTCCAGGAACATTTCTCACATAATTCTAATAAAGGGAAAGCTTTAATGCCAAGGATTGAAGCACTCCAAACGTGGAGAAAGACAACATTCACACAGTTAGTACTATTAAACAATACATTTGAGGGTATTCTCCACTGGGAGACTAATATTCACACTGAATGTAATATATAGGTTGAACCTCACACAGTGAGAAGTGGGATGAGGAAGCTGCTGACCAAAATCAAATACTAAGTCTGTCTGTGTGTCTCCCTGCCTGCCTCCCTCTCTCTCTCTCTCTCTCTCTCTCTCTCTCTCTCTCTCTGTGTGTGTGTGTGTGTGTGTGTCTGTGTGTTCAAATGTAATAAATGACATTCACAGGTTTGGGTTTTTTTGTTTTGTTTTGGTTTAGTTTGGTTTGGTTTTTATTGCAAATTAAGTTTGCAATGAGAAGCTCGGAAGCTTTCTCCCAGAAGAAACTGTTTCTACCATTTCCCACCCCCAGCCAAACAGGAACCTAGTGTTTCACATTGAAAGCAATGGAGGAAGGTGTGGAGGAAGGATATTTGCAAATGGCTTTGGCAGTTCATTGGTTGAAGAGCTGCATAGCCTGAAGAAGTGGATTTGAACCACGAAAGCTTACAAATTGTTTGATTTTTTTTAAAAAGTGGAATTCACTGGATTTTCTTGCAGAGAGCTCTTTATGAATGCATTATCAACAGTTGTAGCTTGCAGCCACAATTGAATGTATTTCCTCTTCCCAATCTTGAGGAAATTTCACATCAAAGTCAACTTCTCCAGGGAACAGACTGTTTGAGGTCAGCTTTATTTCTGACAGGGCAAGGCATTAATTACAGTTTGAAAATGAGCCAGAAAGAGATGGAAGAGATCCTTATTACCTCTGAACTATTACATACCAACGCCAGTGTGGTCTACCAAATAAAACACGGGGTTGGATACAGAGTTCTCTGACTGCAGTAACTTTATCTGGATTTTTGTACTTTTTTCTTTGTATTGTATATTTCCAGCTCAGGTTGCAATCACAAGCAGTGTGATAAGTTGGTGTGCGACTCACTGCATCTGGGCCCCTTTCTGTATGCAGACAGAGTGGTAAAGTAAACTCTATTTATTTAAAATATTTTTACCCCACCTTTCTCCTTAAAAGGAAAAGGCAGCTAGGATAGGCCTAGTAGACAGATTCAGTGATGTCAGAGGTGGCGGTTCAGGGAAGGTCCTGCAACTATACAACATCTGGCCTGACAGAGTGGTTGCAGGGGAAATTCGGCCACCAGGACCATAGAGGTCCCCCCACCCCTTCCAGCTAGACCCTCTTGCTCAACTGCTCCACAAAGCTGTGGGATAAGAGTAGAGTCTTCAAATTAGGATCTGATCCTTCAAGTCAGCGGTTCCTAAATACAGATTCCCAGATGTTGTTGGACTAGGAAAGAGTGGCTCTGCATTGATCATGCTGGGTGAGGCTTCTGGGCAGTGAAGCAGAAAGAACAGCTGAGAACCTTTTTGCTGCGCCCTTCCACTCCCATGGACTTGGGGAGATGCAGAAGGAGGAAGAAGAAACTCCTGCAGCAAGGTTAGATGTTTGCTAAAATAATGCTGGACGTAGTCAATTTTTGAAAAAATTTAAGCTATTGTGGGAAGAGATCTTCTCAAAGTAGAAATGTGTTTGTATCTGTGCATGCATGTGCATCATGACCCCTCGAGTTGACCCTAATAACCTGGAAATATTTCATGGCAACACCAGTTACACATTCTGTTCACTCAAGCATAGTACTCTTCTACTTTGCTGTTGATTCCATTTTAACTTTGATTTTATATGCTGTAGTATTTTACATTTATTCCTTATTGCTATTTTTATCTCAGTTTTATCATGTGCTACCTTATTGCCCATATCTTATATTCTGTAATGTTTCCTACACTGCCCAGAGTAGCCTAAAAGTATGATAAATAAGAAAAGAAATATAGCTGCAGACACAAAGTGGCAATTCACACAACAGAAGAGTCCTTGCTTGTAATGATTTCATAACAATGGGGCAGGGAGAGACCTCCACATAGGAAAACTTGTTATATTTTTGTTTCTCTCTCCAGCATATCCAACATATGCTTTCAGATGAAGATAACAAGCTAATTTATTTTTTTTAACCCTCTTCAAAATCGTTCTTGAGTGTACAAGAAGCTAATCATGAGCATCCTCTACGAGGGGGCTAGAACAGAATCTTGCTGCTCCTTCTTGTGGCATTCAGCATTCTCGACCGATGTGATTAAGCCAACTCCAGTAACCCCCTCGTCCAAAGGTCGAGGGATGTGTGGATGTGCAAGTGGAACTCAATAGGCTGGGAATTATCTTGATGCTACAGCATTGTCCTTATTAATTATTAATTACAATTATTACCCTAGGGATAGGCGCATGAATATGAACTTGCTGAATCAGAAATTGTGACTATTTCTGCCTAAAAGACATTGATTTGCTTCCCCGCACACACGCCGGTTGCCATGATAACGTCATGTAGGTTTCCTGCCCGCTGAGGCCCCACTGGCTGTAAGAGGAGTGAAATCGCAGCCATCGTAAAAACACACTAATGTATCAGCCCAAGAGACCAAGAACACATTCCTCATATGGAAATGATCAATCTTGTCGCAGAGTGAGAGGTGTAGTGTGCCAATCTGTTGCCTCTCCCTCTGTTCATTCCTTCCCCACCTTTCTCCTTCTGCCTTTCTGCCTCTGTACCTATTTTTTTCCCCCACACTCCTTCTTTTCCTGTCTTTTTTGGCACGGGCACTTTCATCTCCTCCCTCAGGGATTCGAGATGTCACTGCAGGAAGTGCTTGTCTGCCTCTCAGGCAGCAGCAGAGCCCTGTGGCTTTGACAAACCTCATTTAATTGGGAGGAAGCCAGGAGGGTTTGAAAGAACTGAAACATCCACGAAAACTCCTTTTATCAGGCATAATTTAAACTCTGCATGGAAAAAACCCTATATGTATAAAGAAAAGTCAACTTCCCCCCTGCTGCAAGTCCTCCCGCCCCTCCTCCTTTGCCTCCCCATCCCCCAGCAAAGGCAGATGCCAGCGAGATTCCCTCGTTTCAGTTTTCAAAAAGTGTCAGAGTTGATTTGTGCTCTGTGGCTGGTTGGACAGAAAAGGAATGCAGATCTCCCTCTTGTGCGCTCTCTCTCTCTCTCACACACACACACACATACACACACACATACAGAAGGCCAAACTAGGTAGTAAGAACAGAAAACCTCTGTGCTTAACAATCTGGATCCTGCCCCAGTCACATCGAAGCCAGGTGTTGGGGTGAAGTGGGGGGCAAGTTGATGAGCAAAAGCGGCCACGGGTGGAGGGTGCCCAAGACCCTTCCTTATCTCCCTTCCCTTTTGGCCACTCCCTCCCCAAGCACTTTTCGCTCTGGGAAGCCCACATTTGCATTTTTATTTTTATTTTTGGAATTTGCAGGGATATTTCCTAAACTCTCACTTTGCCTTTAGAGGTTTTTGTTCTCATGGGAATTGAGGACGGCTTTAAAATACAAAAGGAACATCTCATAAATCGGTCCTTGTGACTCATGGTCAGTGTGGGGAGGGGGGGGCACCACAGGCACCTTAGGGCCATCCCTGGAAAACAATCACTCTCTTCCTACTATAGTGCTCACAGGAGGAACCATTTTAAGCCTGGAATCAAGTTGAAGGTGGTATAGTCCCAGAGAAAGGACTGCACCACATGCTGCGGGCTCTCTGTTTTGCAATATATGTTGAGTTTAAGAGGTCATTTGAAAACCTCGCTTTAATTGCAGCTGTGCTGTAGGTATTACAAATGGGAAATGGCTGGAAGTTGTCCTTATGTCAACATCTAATGACTGAAGCTTGTAGCTCATGTGGGAGTTTCAAACAGACATCATTAGTGGCTTCTCAGAGGTGTGTGTGTGTTTGTGTGTGTGTGTGTTCGTATTCAGAGTGACTTTACCACAAACAACTTACAACACCGTAAAGTTGTCAACAGGCTCCAGAAGAGAAGAAGAGGAGGGATAGTCCACCACTTCTGCTGGGACACCAGCTGCTTTTGTTTCTCACACAACTATCCTCCAAACTTCTAAGTGGACTGCCTGAATCGTTTCCATTCAGCTGGCCGTCCTAAGAACAGCTACCAGAACCCACTGTTTTCTTCCTCCCTCCCCTTCCCTTTTTTCTTGTGTATCACAACATCAATTTAAATTGCAAGCCTGAGGCTGTGGGCTGTGATGCCACATATATTTATAAATCACTCTGGGAGGCTTTCCGGTAAAAAAAAAAAAAGAAGAAGAAGAGGGCAATATATACTTTAAAATAACAACAAAATAAGTCAGTAAATTTGTTCTCACACTCTTGTAGGAGAAATTGGGAAGGACGTACCATTGGAAAGCTGGTACAACTGTGACGGCAAGGGGTTGAAGAAGTGATGAACAAGGGCTTCCTGGGAAGAGATCCTGTCTTGGGGACAAACTTTCAACATTCTTGCTGCCAAGTCTTCAGCCTCAGGCACCCTGCCCAACCTAGAAAACAAAGAGCAAGGCCTTTCAAAGCCCCACTTCAACATTCTGAAAAACTGGGTGTTCTAACACCTGACTCCAGGAGTAAGCTAATGACAAAAATACCAATAGGTCAGGAGATTTTCCACCTCAAAATTCTCTCATGTTGGGATGCAGCGATACCTGAATGAAAGATTTCCTTCCATTATCTCCCTCCTGAACTATCCATGTTGACATCATTTAAATCATTCGTTTGCAAACAAAGGGCTCAAATGTGCAGCGAAAGAGCAATCGCGAACAAATGTAATATTTCTTAAAATCAAACTTCAGCTTGACTATCTGGGCCCAGTGTCAACATACCATGATATGCTATTGTTTGTTATATATATTATTTTGACTGCTCATGCTAAATATGTATGTTGGATTGAGCAGAGTTGCTTCTTTCCAGGTTCCACACATACTGTACTGTGTTTCTTGTAAATTTATGGATGTGAACCAGGAGTTCTGTCTACACCAGACAAGACAGCAGCCAATTCTGGTGCCTGGTTGAATGTTGTGTATAGCAAGGAATATATGAGGTAAAGTTGTCTGAATGTGAAGACAGACTAATGACAGGTGAGCACCACGCAGCTTGATTCAGAGTTTTGCTTGGCTAACGTGAGCCATTTTCCAGAAGACTGTTTGTTTTCTTTTGAGTCAAGTTCTGAAACTAGGAAAACTATTACCTCACTGGAAACATGGCTACTTGCATAGCAAGTAGGTAGGTGGACAATCAGAATGTGAAAGCAGGCTTAAAACTGTGTTCCAGGTGAATCTTTATATTAAAGTAACCTACACACGATAGTAAGAGCTTCTGTTGTTTCCTCAATGAGTAGTACCAGCTGTTCATAATAAAATCAACTGAAGATGTGATGGAGTCCAAATCCACTATAAACATCTTCATCCTCACTTTGTCTAATGGCAGGATCGGATGTGGATCATTGTGTTAGCAAAGAACTCCAAGAAAATGGAGACATCAATGCTGGTGTTAAAGCCTGCCCACAGTAGCCCAGAAGGGCTGCTGAGAAAGTCAAATTAGGGGAAAGCCCCATGGGGTTGATCTGGGAGGGGGACTGGTGAGGAGATGAGAGGGCCAGAGCCCCCTAGGCCAGAAAAGCTAACTCATGCCAACTGCATTGCAAATCTACTGTCTTATGAGAGGTTGGTGTTTTTGTTTTGTTTTTCTTGGTCCTCCTGTCAATCACTTCACCAAACAGGAAGAAAATTCTTTTTATGAATGTAAATATCACAAAACTATTCTAAAAGCATCCCTCAGATATTAATGGGCAGAACTGATGGCCCACTTAGTAGCCCTGATGCTCAGCTCTCATTGTTGTTTCTTTGATTAAAAGTTTTTTGGGCATCTGGAATAGTAAAAATCATTCTAGATTTTAAAAAAATAAATCCCCTTCAAATGGCAAATCTGGGCACCTTCCACTCACTGGCAAAATGTAATGCCAAGTGGCTGACTTCTTAGAAAGATGGCAGCTTGGAAGCAGAGGAAGTGAAACAGAGGAAGCCTAAACAAGCATGCAAACAAAAACAGTGCTTGAGTTTTATGGCTTTTAATTTGCTTGTTTGTTCGAAGTGTCAGGTGGCCCATTAGAGCCCAGCCTGCTGTTTCTCCTCACCCCCATTCCAGCTGGCATTTCCTTTCCAAACCATATTGCGCTGCCAGGATCTGCTCACTTTCATTCTTCACTGTTAGTCCCAGTAAAAACACACCTATTAAACTAACTAGGCTTGGACAAAAAGCAGCGGTGTGATCCACTCTCAGAAACAAGGGATGGGTAATATCTCTTGTTTTTTAAAAAAACTGGACCACTAAAGTGTTACCCCCCCTCCCAAAAAAAGAGCTTTGGCCTCCTCAGAACGTTTGCCTTAACCCAAAATGTTGGTATTCCCCAACTCAGAACTTGGTCATTGGGCTTGGAGTTTTAGGACTACGTCCCATAAGCTTCTAGCGCCCCTTTTCTTGGTAGAGGCAAAAAGGAAAAGAGAAGAAGGGAAGCCACTTTAGATGGACACAACTGTGGCCAGAATTTTAACTGCAGAACTACAGTGTAGTGCTGATGAATTAGGAAAACCAGAGATTGCCTTATACCCCATCAGATCATTGGGCCATTTAGTTCAGTACTGCCATTATTGGCCTGTAGCAGTTCTCTAGGGTTGCAGACCAGAGTCTTTACCAGCTCTACCTGGTGATGCCAGGGACTTTCTGGAGGAAAAACATAGGCTCTATGACCGAGGTATGGGCCTTCCTTTAACATACTTGGCACATACTGGGGATCAAGACCTTTATTTATGAAGCAAATCACAATGGTTGGTAACCATGATGTAAGGCAGGAGGCCATGGCCAGTAAGGACAGAAGCTGCAGTCCAGCAACATCTGGAGGGCCAATTCCGGTCCCTATTCCAGTTCTTGAGAAGCCACAGCTTTCTCAAGTCCAGTGACACCCATGTAACTCGAGGAATTGCCAATGTTACATGATATCCAGTGGGACTTCCTATAGTCTATCTTCGGTTAGGATTTGGGCAAGCTGCTAGTTAAGCATCTTCTCCATAGTTCAGTCCAAGGTTGAGGGACATCTTGCTTGTAAAATATTACTCATGAAATGATTGATCTGTAACTATCTGCTCACGCAAATAGTTTGATGATAACAATTAGTTCAAGAAGGTGCCATTCCTGCATTGTTGCTTATTGTTTTTTTTTTTTGATTAGGTTTAAATAGTACTGATACTGTTACTATTACCAACTATATGGAATTGCCTTCATCAGACTAAACTCAAAGAAACCAAATCTAGCATTGAAATCTTACACATAAAAGAAACCAATCCTAAGGGAGAATTTTACGATTCTTTATAATAAGTAAGCTTACCTGTCACAGATAATTCTGAGTTTCTGAGGTCTACTGGAGAAGAACCTCCCTGGAAAGTTAATATGCAATCACCAGATTAAACAAAAAAATTAAACAATTTGAATGTGGAATTTTTAGTTCTTCCACTGAAGGTGTCTGAACTGCATGGATAGGCCAGTGGTTTGTGTCTCTGGCTGTGGAGCCATAAGTTGGGAATTTGATTCTTCCCCACTGTGCCTCCTGTGATGCGAGACAGATGGTGTGGCCTCAGGTAAGCTACACAGTCCCAGGGTGCCCCCCCCCAAAGAAGGGAATGGCAAACTAAGTATTCTCTACTGAATACTCTCTACCTAGAAAACTCTGAAAAAGATCACCATAAGTCAGAAGTGACTTGGAGGTGCATGATTATTATATTTATTACTGAAGGTGCCACTGCTCTTTTTATAAATGCACATTACTTCTGAAAAGCACGATTACTGGCATTGATAAAATGCGATTCTGGTGAGTTGCTTTGGCCATTTGCTAGAGAATATAGGCAAACATTCTTGAATTTGAATTCTAGCACAAACATCACAACCCTGCAACCAAACTGTCAAGTCTTACATCTGAGATAGATTGTGTAAACTCTGTGGGTATGTGTATATGTAGATATGTCTATTTGGGTGCATATATATATGAGTGTACAGATGTATGGCAGTCTGGGAGAAGAGGAGTGGGGAACTGTTGAAATAGTGATGGGGACAGCAGGGAGATGTAATGGGAGCCATAAAGACTAGCTGAGACATATACTGTACTGTGGGCCCAACCATCTGTTATTGTTGTTTTCCGCATGACCTTCCAGAGTTGCACAATGATACGATCTATCTTTAATTCTGCAGTCTGACATTTCCTGATCGTCTTACCTTACCCAATAAAAAGTTTTCCATCCTGTGACTGATCTAGACAGAAGTCTTACACTAGTCCTGAACTGTTCATTGTTCTGGTCTTTCTTTTGAATAACTGAACCTCTTCCCCCCTCTCTTCTTGTTATCCATATTGTTCTGGCACTGCACCTATGAACCCATTCACTCACAGCTAGGCATCATATTCTTCCAGACTAGATAATACTCTTGGCATTTTCAGGGTGAAGCTTTCTCTCTGTGTGTCATGCACACAAAGAGAGAGTTTAGACATACTCGACATATGGAACATGCAAAGGACAAATACACAGCACTAGCAAGCTGAGCTTCCCTGCCAGCAATCCATGTCACTGGGAATCCAGGAAATGATCAAAGAAATTGACAACCTATGACAACAAAGACAACAAAGAAGCTTGTGGCACCTCAAAGACCAATGAGGTTTTACGCGGCATGAGCTTTCCTGGATTGCAGCCTACTTCTTCAGAGGGAGGTGGGCTACAGTCGGCAAAATAATAATTATGTGGCATCAAGTCAATTCTGACTTATGGTGGCCCTTCTTGGGGTTTTCCAGGTAGAGAATACTCAGAAGCAGTTTACTGTTCCCTCCTTCTGGAGGTGCTCTTGGACTTTGTAACTTGCCCAAGGCTACACAGGCTGACTGTTTCTCCGGGAAGCACAGTGGGGAATCAAACTCTTGACCCCTTGTTCTAGACATTTCAAGCCCATGAGCAATATAGTCAGTTCACAGTCCACAAAAGCTGCCAAATAAAAAATGTTAGTCAGAGGCCATAAGACTCTTTCCTGTTTTAGCTGCCATAGACTAACATGGCTAAGCTACTGGAAAGCAATGATTTTTCCAGGCTAGTAGTTCCCAACTTTGGGTAACCCAGGTGATCTTGGACTGCAGCTCCCAGAAACCCTGGCCAGCACAACTAGCGGTGAAGGTTTCTGGGAATGGCAGTCCAAGAACACCTGGGTCACTCAAGGTTGGGAGCCACTGACCTAGGGCATTGTATGTGAAATAATGTCTTACTTGCAGAATGATCAGAAATGAAATTATCTTTAGTATTGCACAGGAGGAGTGTGCAGCCTTCAAAAAATTTTTTGAAGAAGACCCACAAAATAGTCTCCTTGATTTTGTCATGTGCTGGGTTTCTTTCAAAGGTTGTCTGAATGTTCCTGCACTCCAACTCTGAAAATTATGAATGAACAAGTAAAATATTTTGAAATCTACATGAAAGGAATTTTGTTTCTTGTGATTTTGCAGGCATTACCTAATATGGCAGGAGAAAGCATCTTCCTGAAGTGGCAGGACCAGAAGGCCACTGACATATGGGATATGCAAAGGAGAAATACATACCACAAGCTATGGACATCCACACCACACACTTGTGATATTGGTGTACATGGCTCAAGCATTATTTCAGGTACCTGGTATAAATTCATCACATTGAGTTCTTTCCAGATGCATACAACACTCCCATCTACATATATACAATATCACAAATCATAAAAGAAAGATTTATATTTTAATTCTTCAGTTATATTTTATGTTCATCTGTAGTTACCCCATGGCCATTACCGGAGCTTAAAAAAAACTTGTCGGTTGTCAAGTCAATTCTACTTATGGTGACCTTTTCTGGGGCTTTCTGGATATAGAAAGCGCTCAGAAGTAGTTTACTGTTCCCTTATTCTAGGGGTTCACTGCAACCTTGTAGCTTGCCCAAGGCCATATCCATTGACTTTTCTCACAGGAAGCATAGTGAGCTTATTTAAACATGATGACAACAACCTCAGTGTCCTTCTGAACACTGCTTAGGGTCGCCACTCTTCACTGGTTCTGGTCCTTCCTTGATGGCTGATCCCAGATGGTAGAGCTTGGGGCAGTTGTCTCCACCCCTTGGGACCTCTGCTATGGGCTTCCACAGGGGTCAACCATCTCCCCAATACTCTTTAACATCTACATGAAGTTTCTTGGAGAAGTCATACAGAGATGTAGGGTTCGCTATTACCAGTATGCTGATGACACACAGCTCTACTTCTCTTTTCATCATGCAAGGGACACTGTACAGATTATTGAGCACTGCCTAGCATTGATAAGGAACTGGGCGAGGGCCAAAAAAACCTGAATCTGAATGCAGATAAGGTACAGATCCTACTGTTAGAAGGATCTTTCTTGATGGGGTTGTGTTCCCCTGAAGGACTGGGTCTGCAGCTTGGAGGTACTCCTGCACTCTCTGTAGAGGCACAAATATCAGCCATGATCAGGAGTGCCTTTTATCACCTTCAGTCAATTACTCAGTTGTGCCCCTACCTGCATAAGAAATGCTTAGTAACAGTGGTTCACACACTGGTAATCTGAAAAATAAACATAATGCTATGGAAGGCTGCCCTTAAAAACAATAAGGAATCTTCAACAGGTTCAAAATCCAGCAGCCAGACTAATTCCTGGGACTAGTAAATTCAGTCATATATCCCAGGTCTTGGCTTGCCTGCATTGGCTCCATGTCAGTTTCAGTGCTCAATACAAGGTGCTGGTTATTGCCTACAAAACCCTTAATGGTTTAGGACTTGCTGAAATGTCTCTATCAGAAAACAGCTACCTTTTCCACCTGCTGTTCTTAATCCAGGTTGCTAGAAGTCGCCACGCTGAGGGAGGCCAAAGGGCGACAAGGAATCAGGCCTTTCCGGTGGTGGCTTCAAATCTGTTGAATAAACTCTCAACTGAGGTATGCCAGGCTCCTATCTTCCTGGCATTCAGGAAATTGGTGAAGACAGAACTATACAAAGCTATCTTCAGTAACTTATTCCGGGATGCTGGTAATAATTTTTTAAAATTATTTTTTGTGCTTTTTTGTTTTAATTTTAGATCTAGATCGCTGAACTGCCATATTAATGTATCACTACTGAAGTTGTGTGAGGTTCTGAGCTTTAGTGTGTCCACTACCGTAGTGCCACAATCAATGTGGCACTACGCTATTTTAAAAAACTTTATCCTCTGTTCTATCCCAATTTCTTCCTTCCCTTCTCCTAGGGTCAATTGTACTTTGTTATCTGCAGTGTTGCCAGCGAGGCAGCTTACGAAGATGGGGTCAGCTTCAAAACCAAGGTAACCTTTAAGCCTAGGGTTAATCTGCACCATGATGTCCATCTAATTCAATTACCTGTAAGGCAACTTTCACACAGAACAGCATGCTGGCGGGCGCAACGCACATTAATTGGCCTTAAAGTACCATAAAGAGGGTTTTGTGATACAATACAAACAGGACTTCAGAGGAATCAATAAGACAAAATCATTGCTGGGTTGTCTTACTATTTCTGAACCACCCTGAACATATTTTGTTTCTTTTGGGAGACCACCAGGAATTTACAGGGCTCTCCAAGCAGGGCAAGAGTAAAAATCTAGCCTGAAACCCAGGATAGTCACTGGCGATCAGAGCTGACAATATGGGGCCACATGAACCAGTGGGGCGACTCTGTATGAAGCATCTTCCTAAGTTCTTATGATGATAGGGCTGGTCCCAGTGTCTTATCTCGCCACTCCAGGTTCTCACTGAAATCAAATTTTATGCCTAAACTCTTAATAACAACATAATTCCAGGCGCCACAGCAAAATATTTCACTAAAATGTTGGTGCCAATAAAAATGTTGACTTAGAGCACATAGGGGTGTGTGCACAAGTTGTATGAGAAAGAGAAAGGGAAAGTGAACTACTGCTTTGATTGCAATGACTGCAAGATTCCCTTGGAGCTCTCTAATGTAATGAAGCTGTCCTTTCATATCTGTCAAAATGCGAGACACTGTGCCTACTGATGAGAGATAAGTGACTTTAAAAATTTTTTTCCCAGACTGAGTGGATGAACTGAATTAAATCTGTGAATTTAAAACCCCTATATATGAAAAACACCTTTGGCATTTGTAAAAAAAAAAAATCACTGGAATGAGGTGGTATGCAGATAGTGTTCTTTCTCTTTCTGTGGCATATACAGAGAATGGCATGGGTCTTAAGTACATCATGTTTGTGCCTGTAAACTTGCAGCACACAATTGGGACAAACGTAACGGCCCAAATCACGTTCCTGTACGTGGTGGAAGCTAATGTCATCAGTCCACAGTGCTAAAATTCATTTTTAATTAATTAAACACTTCCTATTCCCCCCCCCCCGGTTTTA